GTTGAAGGGATTTTGAAAGACTTTCTAATGTTTGAAGCAAAATATTCTAGACTTACATTTTTAACACAGATTATTCTTGTGTATGTCTGGTAGTTCTTTTAATTCAATCAACTACATTTCCTGATCCACCCTGACCTCGTCCGTTATATCTGCCTTCCAGACACAGTTGTTGACATGAGTCTAATGGCTTCAGAGACTGAGGGCAGTTCCCTGTGAGAACTCAGGACTGCAATGGCTTTTCCAGATTGTTGCCAGTTGTCACACTGTCGTATATTATGTATGATAATTTTGTTGTTCTTAGAATATTTTTGTTATTGGTGCTACTTTTTTGTTGATACTGTCGGTTAAAATAGTCATAATGATTTCACAGCATGTAGCATGGAGTGTCAATAATTGTTTTTGAAACATGGATGAGACTGAGAGTTGCTGTCAAATTTTGCTGATGCTTTAGTTCCTGCCATACTCTGAACACCGGGGAAAGCTCATGGGTAATATGTCCCATGAAATGAAAGTCACATCTCATCCTGAAAGGGATTACGTGCCAAATGTTTGAAAGAGTGAAGAAATGAAAATTACTACATCGATTGTTTTGCACCTCGCGTTTGGTGGATTAATGAACATTTATTTTTTTTTAGATGGAGATAATACAGTGGCGGCATCTGTCATCGTAATGTGTCAGGTTGTCCTACCATGCTCATGGCAACTGTCAGTGTCAGCTTTATTCTGAGTTCCTTTTTGATTTCTCAAATCAAAAGCATTTTAGTTGTAACTTAACTGGAAAAAAAGTACATTTTTTCGTCAAAGACCCGTCTCCAGGGCTATTTTTAACAAAATCAGATAATGTAGTGTATGTTTAAAGACACACTTACTTAGTTTTATGCATAGTGCATAGCAATCATGTGTAGTTTGTTTAAAAAGAGAAAATTGCCTAAAGTATAGACATCCGTAGGGCCTTCTTGCTGTTTCTTAGGCTCGGAACTCGGAGGTCGTTTGTAAGTTGTCATGGGTTCACTGTATACTATTACTATATGCAAGGCATTTGTTGATTCTAATCAGTTTTTGTGAAACAAGGATTGTTTCAACTTTTGGAGAGTCCAAGGTTTGACTGAATGAGAATGATGAATCCATCATGTTCAGTGGATGCGAGGTTCACTGCAGTCCCTCTTCTGAAAAGTTGTTTTGCTCTGAAAATTGTTTTATCTTTTAAGGGTACACTGGAGTCCATTATGTGAGAATGTCCAGATCCTGTGGACCTCATATATTCAGTATCTGTAGTGGCATTAGATATATATTTCAATTAAAATATTAAGACTACATAGTATCGATGGTTTAAGGTAAGTAACTCATGTACACGCTGAGTAACTTATACCACTTATGGTCCTTGACTGCAATACTCAGTTCTCCAAATTATGATAGAAGAAAGGAAAGGCTGCTGTCCTTTCTCCTCCCATTTCTCTATCAATGGTTTGAGCAGACTCTTATTGAGTCCAAGGTGTCTGTATCTATTTATGGTTTAAAATGGCCTTTGGAAAGTTGTGCTCTATTTTAGTTTTAGTTTTTGCATGTGTTCAACCCAATGGGCCTGAGCTCATTTTAAATGGGACTGCATTTGCCCTTCTGTGCACTGAAAGCGTGTCTGAGAAGTTGATGGTGTAAACCTAGCAGTTGACCCAAATGAACTCAGGTACATGGGTCTGGTAGGCGAGGGGGGGGAGGGGGGGGGGGGGGCTGGACTGGACTGGAAGGGTTATTGCCCTACTTGACACAGATAAGGAGACTGATCTATAGGGAAACAGCTTATCTTGAGTCCCACTTTCTACAACATGGCATTAGGCTGAAGTGCACAGGCTTGGAAGGTTTCTGGGTCAACAATTATGACCCATATATACCTTAGTTCTCAATGGGAGTTTTCATCTCCTCAGAAAACGCCTTAGTAACAGAAAAATTGGATGTACTTGAAACATTTTTCTGATTAAAGTTTAATAGAAACAAGCTAATATCTCAACTTTTATATATATTATATGTAGTCTGACACAAAACGGACTCTCCTTTTATGCTGACTTTTTGGAGTTGTTTGGTTTGTGTCTGAGATCATCAATATATGACCTCCCAAGACATGTCCATAAATTTTATATGTACCATTTTATCTCTGACAGTTTGAAAATACGGAAAGTGGCCTGTGTAATTAAATAATGCAAGTAGCTTCTGAAGCCTGCTTTAATTACATCCATACAACCTGTCACTTCTCCAAGCTTTCTGCACTTCAGTAACGTGGTGAAATGTAATAATAATACATGTTTGTCTCAGTTGACATAGATACTATGTTTGTAAATATCTGAATGTGATAACTGTGATCTTTTCTGAGGTGTCTTAAACGTCTTTAGTGGAAATTTGCCTATAGTAGATTTTAAACTGAATGAAGCACAAAGCTATTGCGAGCTGGTGGCACTGTGTAACAACCTCCTGGGCTGATAATGGAGTTGATACAAGATCATAACACGATACTCAATCAGTAGAATTTGAAGGAGTTTGGAACATATGGCACCCTGTACCACCACAGCAGGTGGACCAACATCTTCAGTGTAATAGTGGACTCTTTGTCTCACATGGAAAAGATGCAAGTTCAATTCCAGTGTCACTGTCAGGGAGTTTGTTTTGTTAGGTATCTCCATCTTTATGCAGGGTACCATTTCTCACTCGGGCTGTGTTGGCCCTAACAGTGACAGGCAGGGTTGATGTAGCCTTTCTCCCAGTGTTGATGGAGGGGTGTTCAATGTATACAGTGAATCACAGCTGATTAAGTTGATCTAACGGTAACAGATTTTGCTACTCCAGCTTTGGCTGTTGGTACTGAACAGTGCACTGATGATTGGAAAGCTTATCATATATGGCGTTTCCCATTGCCTCAGAGTCATATATTGCTGAGGAGCTGTAGAGTTGCTGCTTCTTCAGCTAACAAATTGTTGGGGAGCTTTTGGCATTGTGTGTCACCTTAGCTGTGAGTGTAGTGCAAGTCGTTGTGCCGCCACTGAGAGATAAAACTGCTTTAGACTGACAGCCTTGCCACATCCAGGTTGATTCGAGTGTGACTTCACAGTTACTGTGTTAGGAGCAATTTATTCTTTTGTTTGCTTTTTCTTATTTTCAGTGCTTACATCTCAGTCCAGTTTGTCATTTTCGGTCCGTAGTGAATGAGACTTTTCACTGTACGGTCAGATTTCATTACTTTCCTTATATAATCTATTGTCCCTGTGCCTGAATATGATGGTCCCTCTTTTCGTATATTTTAAACAAACTTATCCACTCTTTGAATAAAAAAGTGAAAGTCAGCATAAGAACTCAACTGAAAAGCATTGCCCTTTTATGTAATAAAAGCATTCAAATTATTTGTCCTGTTGTTCAATGTTTTACTATTTCTTTTGGCATGGTGAGATTAATGAGTCAGTCCTAAATTGACAATCCCTCTCCATCTGCTAGTAACGAAATACTGTGTTGTATAAAGCCCCAAAAGATGCTGCAAGCCATGGCTATGCAATCAGATTCCAAAGCTGTCAAAATGAATAGTACGTCTATTTGTGAAGTGGTGGGCGTGTTTAGAACAGGAAGAAGTTTGAAAATGGAAATGACTTTCAATGCATTCCAAAAGGTACAAACCCATTTATGGGTGGTTGGCGGGTGCTCTGGTGTGGTTTGCTTCTTCTTTCCTATCAAACATCTATCGTCTTTATCTCCCCTCCTTCTTTTTAGGTGTTCGTTACTCTCTTGTAACACCTCTAATCTTCGGCACCTATTTGACCTTATTGTGTTGCAAGTGCCGTAAAACACTTACAGTAGTCTCCGCCTAAACTCAAGGTGCTCGGGAGGGCTCCTTAGCGTGTGTTTATACCGAGCGTGCGTTTACATGAAGCTTTGCAAAGGGAGGAAGGGACGCAGTCATCTCATTGCTTTAATATTTTACCTCCCTTGGGGGTGGGAGTCACTTTGGGCCGATAATGTGACGACACACAACTGTTGTTTTGTGAAGGATTCCAGGACTGCCATTAAGAATATAAAGGCGTTGAATGGGATGGGGGCGGGGGCAGAAAGACAGACCCAATGTAATGAATATATGCACTATAAAATGTGGAAATGTTGGTGACCGTCATAGAGACAACGGCCCAGCCACGTGACTTTCCAAGCGACCACCCCGACCTTAAATTCATGGACATCAAAATCATAGATCTCTACATTCAGAGAAACATTTCTCTTGTGATTCATTGAACAAGTACGTTATAAATTCTTCGAATGCAGCTGATAAGGCTTACTTGGTTAATATTTAGTCCTATAGAGGCAGAGGCCTATCTAGTGTTATACGGCATTCACTCGTGTTGCGTACCTGGCCTAGGTCTAACTAAACACCACATGCAGTCACCCAAACACCAATCAGAAACCTCTCCAAGATGCATTTCCAGTGACCAACCAAAAAGCATTTCAGGCCCCTAACACCCCCCACCCCACCCCCACCCCCCATTTCACCGGCTTGTGAAAATGCTGTCCATCACTCTCTTTGTTCAGCGTGAGGGGCAGTCTCACCATCCAGATTTCTAGGCTTGTCTAATGCAAGCTGTGCAGACTGTAGTGAAAATTTCCCTTTGTCAAGCTTTAGGCCTACCTGTCCGCGTGATTCGCAGGTCGGCGGAGTGTGCGTTTAGAGGGAGTAACTGCGTTTGTACGCCTAAATTATAAAGTAAAAACCCCGTCAGACGACGAAAGTGTGCGTTTGAGCGGAGCGTGCATTAGTATGGCGTGAGTGTAGCCGTAGACTATTGTACTACTGTACAGAAAAAAAATTTTTTTTTAACATTTGAGTTAAAGTAAGCGACTTTGTAGATTTTATGGGACTCCATCATGTATACTACAGCTTTTATAAAATAATATCCCCTTCCCCTCGAGCACCTTGCTGTTATTTTACATGATGTGTTAACGTGATAAAACCATAAATAAGTTTTTTTTAAAAGAGGTTCAGGTTCTTAATTTTTTTATTTGCTCATGAGAACAAAAAGTTGAGGTATGAACAGGTATTTCATCATTCTGACAACACATGACATTTCTGCCACACAACAGTGGGGGGAAACACGAAGTATTCGAATCTCAAAATAATTTTGTACTACCCACCATTCATTGTACACTGCTCTTGTTACTCTAAAGAAATATCCTCACAAGAGATTCTTGCGTGTCGACTGGTGCTACACATGATGTGTAACAATAATCAATGGCACATAAATTTTTTCTCCCTTTTCCAAATCACACCTGAAATTGTAAAGATTCAAAATGTGAAGGTATAGGCACAACACATCTTGCACACAATCCCATTAATAAAAGAAGTGATTGTTCACCATTATATGCAACTGATCAGATACATAAAGTATACAAAAACAAATTTTACTTACATTAACAGTAAATGCTTGTATAGTTCTGGAACAGATGGGACAATGCTTGCTCACAAATTTAAGGCAAATTCATCTGGTCAATTATTATGCACTCTACGGAGTACTTTCATACAAAAATGTGGAGAACAAAAACTTCATTCACTCGCAATCTGCATCTTAGGGAAAAAAATCTTGGTTACATATTGTTCAAAAGAAAGTAATTAACCACACATAGACTGCAAGTCATAAACTTTACCCGTAAATCAAGTTGATCAAGGGGAAGAAACGAACACGATTCTGCCCGCAGAGAAAGCTAAAGTAAGACAACTATCTAGCACCTAGTTCATGATGATTCACTGAATTGTGCTTAGAACAAAACTGCCAAATTACTCCGAAAAGTGAGATTTTGATGAAGGGGAGTATTAATTTGCCTGATAATAGAGTGACTTTTCAGAGCAAGCTTGAGCTGGAACTTGATAGTTTGCATTTCAAACGCTAAAGACAAACATTATGGAAAACAACATTGGCTTCATCTGTATGCCCCATGGTGTGTTGGTCGATCTAAACAACATCAAGTATTGTTCTGAACAGCCAGACACACAGGCAGCTGTCAGCCTACGGCATCATACGAAGAGCACCATCCAAACGAATGACTTCTCCATTGATCATAGGGTTTTCCACGATGCTCTGTACCAAGTGTGCATAAGCACCAGGATCACCAAGGACCGGGGGGAAAGGAATCGTGCTTGCCAGGAACTTGCGAACTTTGTCTGGCAGGGCTGCCAACAATGGTGTGTCAAGGAGACCTGTGGAATTTTTTAATGAAAACAAGCAGATGAGAGGAATGGACACTTTTCTTTACAGGTTTCTAAACCATACAGAGATTACATTTCAATCATAGTCATCAAGACGTAAAAAAAACCCTCACAAAAAAAGGGACAGGGAGACAGTACAATATTGTAAATATCACAGATGTGCGAGGCTCTCGTCTCCATCTCTTGACGTGCAGGGGAGGCGACTCCTTCCTAACAGTAGGTTGCAAACAGAATTGACATGATTAACACTGCAGAGCATCCAACTTTTGGAAATTGATGATAATAATAGAAAGCATTTGCATAGCACAAATTCCTGCTCAACAGCAAACTCTATGCGCTTTACAATCTACACTGTTACCCCCAGCAGATTTGATAGCATTCTGAAACAATCTCAACTTCCTGGGAAGCACACAATGCAAGCTGCCATTTATAGGCACAAATACACTAACATACAGAAAAGATCTTATGCTGTCTATAGCTGGGTACCCATTCCCACCTGGGTGAAGTGAGGAAAATTCGTGTAAAGTGCCTTTCCCAAGGATACAATGTAGGGCCCGCGGCTCAACCCCCGAATCTGCAACCTCACGATTACGAGTCCGGTAACCTAACCACTAGACTATCGATGCTGATAAGAAAAAAAACCTAAGCTTAGGTGGATGCCGTAACCACACAGAATGAGATTCAAGGGAGATTATAACTGTTTTATTGATGCCACACCAATACTCAGCCTAAGAACAAACCCCCCCAAAAATTGTTTGTAAGATAGAACAAATAAATCATTGCTGCACATTGTACAAATAATCTGAAAAGAAAAACAGGATGTTCCCATTACATTTCTTTCAGATTGTTGGCAGGTCCCAGTAACTCTTCTCTCGAGTTTTCTTTTCCACTCACTTCTCATGTACAACAGTTGGTGAGACGAGAGAGTGACTTTATTTTGTGGGACTTGGCCTTAGTCTAATGAGTACGTGCTGTGTGAGTGTGATGGGCATTGACAGCAGCAGGCTACTGGGAGCAGAATAAAAAGGGAAAGTGAAAGATACTGCTGGGAGCTATGATGAAATGACCCTAACTTCATTTGATGAACCAGATCTGTTACTGTAAGAATTTTGGTTCATGTCAAGGGAAGCTGCAAAGCACAGAAAAAAGAGGGGAAAATGTTGGGCAACACCTGCCCCTCCCCAAAAGACATCTGAGTTTGAGCTGGGGGGGCCACACCCACAAGAGCGAAAAAAAAACCCTGTATTTTCATGGAAATATTACATTTAAATAACACTTGATTTATCAATTGGTATCAATCCACGTCCAGGGAAGACGGAAAAAAGGTTTTACAGTGACGATTCTAGATCATACTGTCTTATATACTTGATAAATTTGAAAAAATGTGTCACAGCTTGCAGAGGTGATTTTTCAGAAATTCTAAAACATGCTCATAATCTCTGAAGAGAGAAATATATTCAAAACTTATATAAAGCTGCAGAACTTTATGACCTGACCACGATGTCATCAGTCTGATGGGAATAGCTCTTTATTCAAAAAAAAAAAGTTCTAAACCCCAACACATCTTTCTAATCTGACATCTGTCAAGCTACTGACACGCCAAGTGTAATACAAAAAAAGGTGAAGATTGCTGGAGTTCAGGTTTCACAAAATCTCCAAAACAGTCTACCCAGCCCAAAAAAAAAGAAACACGGTAAAACTTACCAGGGGCAATGGTCGCCACACGGATTCCCTGAGGGGCTAAGTCTCTTGCTATGGGCAGCGTCATGCCCACCACAGCTCCTTTACTGGCTGAGTAAGCTGCCTGGCCCCGCTGCCCTTCAAAAGCTGCCACACTGGATGTATTGATGATAACTCCTCTCTGACCGTCTTCATTGGGCTCGTTCTCCCCAATGACACCCGCTGAGAGACGGATCACATTAAAAGTGCCCACAGCATTCACCTAGAAATTTGCAAATTATTCAGGAAGTTCATTTATGTATGAAAAGGCATGAATTTTACCTTGAAATTTGAAAATGTTGACATTCAATTCAATACTTATATTTTATGTAAGCAAAAGCGAGACTAACAATGGTGTAGGACTCCATGTGGCAAAATCTAGGCAACTGTATACTTTTACTCAACAAATGTACCTAACTTCGTTACCAAATGAACTGGCTGTCCTATTTGAGATTCACATCAAATTCAGAGTTCCTACCTTGTAAATAATCTCAGTCTTGAAAAGAGTGTTCAACCTTTAGCATATCAAATATAGTCGAACCTGTTCTAACGACCACCTGTCCAAGACAATCACTTGTACAAACAACTACTTCCCACTCCTTGCATCCCCCCTTACATATTTTCTATTATAATAACTCTGCCTAATATGACCACTCTCTACAATACATCCTCAGTTCACCCTCTCCACAACAGCTGTGGCACACATGCCATTTCGTTATTTCAGGCATTCAAAAAAAATTCAAAAAGCATAGCAAATGCACGGTGGCCTTTGTTTCAAGTTGCTACTGCTTGTCAGGAAAGTTTTGGTGACAATCTGCTGCTAATATAGAAGACAAAAAATATTGTGCACTTTGACTTAATGACATTGATTGAAGTCAACTTGAGAAAAAAACATGGCAGATTGTGATAATCCAAACAACTGCATGAAAAATCATCTTTACAAGTTTAGAGTTACATTATTAACATTACTGCTTATATGCAACTCCTGGCGCAAACAAAGTGCCATTAAAGACAGTCTTCACCTAACATGTTTTGATGACTGTAAGCAGCAAGGTGCAATAGAATAAGTCTAGAGTAACACATAGGAAGTATAGACATCAGAAATCATTGGAAGCTTGATATTGCAACACCTGTTCATTTTCAACTCACATAACTTTCATTCATTAAAACTATTCAGGAGAATGATTGCTTAGCCATATTGGCATACTCACCGTGAGAACTCTCTGGAAGTCTGCCAGCTGATGTGGTAAATTTTTTTTGAAATTATAAGTCAAAAATGCAATTCCAGTACCAGCACAGCTCACACTTATATCAAGACGTCCAAACTTATCTTTTGCCAACTCAAGGGCCTTGGTGACATCCTCCTCAGATGTGACCTTTACAGAAGACAAAAAAACGATTCTATTCAATTCACTGAACTTCAGTATCAAAATAATACAGTGGAAATCGGATTCAACGAAGTCGTTGGGATTGACCTTCAATTTCATTAAATCCGAGTGTTTGTTAGAGCAAACAAAAGGTTTTCTGCAGATAATAACAGGCACCAAGCTAGCAATGCATAAAGGAAAGTAACGTGTGGTAGGCTACACAGAAATGCCTGCTTTTTGATGTCATACCAAAGAAATACCGGAAAATTTCAGGAAAATACACTGAATTCTAACAAGTACACATTGTGCAGAAGGGCCGATTCATTCAAATACATGCCTGTGTCATCTATGACGTATTGTTTGCTGAACAAGTTGTGTTGCTGTGTAGAGCCTAGCATATGCTAACGTTTCAGCTTCAGTAAGTGTTTTATGGCACTTGCAATACTATAAGGTCATATAAGTGCCGAAGATTAGAGGTGTCACAAGAGAATAACAAACACAAAAAAGAAGGATGGGAGATAGGGACGATAAATGTTTGATAGGAAAGAAGAAGCAAACCACACCAGAGCACCCGCCAACCATGGAAACGTTTGATTCCACAAACCAGCATGTGATTCATTACGTAGATCTGTCAAAACTAGCTTATCATTGTAATGTTGATTAGCAGCCGGGAAACAAAAAAATGAATGACACGTTCGTATCTCTACCGGTGTTCCACATCCGGATCGCTTGTGTCCCCTTCCCACGTACACACAGTCACACTGTGCTGGCCGCCCGTCCGACCCCGACACACACTAAGACACGTACACGTACCAACAACGCATGGGTTGGTATGAAAGAAGGCCGCTGATTGGTCGCATAAGAAATAAACTCTATGGGTTAAGCGAACAATGCTTCACAATACAGGTGCCATGGATGGTTTTCAGGAATAGACATTGTTGTTGCGGGAGGAAAATGAGCGAAGCCTTGACAGCGAGGACTGTTCACCTTACTAGTGACTTAGTTCAATCCGAGCTTGCTCATTTATATGTTCGTTGAATCCAAGTTATTTTCATTGATTTTAATTAATATAAAAAATGTGGAATTCCCATCCTTTCGTTGAATCCGAGTTTTCATTGAATCCGAGTTCCATTGTATAACATACACACAAACATCATCTCAAACCTTTACATTCACTTTATCAAAATCACACTCTGAAATTGAAAAATTTTACAATGCAGTCAAACTTTGTGGGTGGTTTTCCAGTGCTCAAGTGTTGTTTGCTCCTTCTTTCCTATCAGACATCTATCGTCCTTACCTCTCCTCATTCTTTTGTTTGTATGATACACTCTAGTAACAACTCTAATCCTCGGCACTTTTATGACCTATTTGTGTTGCAAGGGCCATAAAACTCTCCCTAAACTAAAGTCAAACTTTTATGAGTCTCTTACATTAGGAAAAAAAAGCCCCATTATAACAATAAATGTGGTCTTACATTATAACTTTACAAAATCTAATTCAGTTTTATCTAAATGAAAATTATCTTAAAATTTACGTGCCGGCAACATTAGAGCAAACAAAAAATATAACTCACATTAGTGGGAGCAAATACACAGTTCTCGCCCAAAGAATCAGCAACTGCCTTTCCATCTGACGTTGGCAGATCACAAATGACAACTTTTGCTCCCTGGCGTACGAATCGCTCCACTGTTGCTCGGCCCAGACCTGAAGCACCACCAGTCACAAGACTAACACAGTTCTGTAGGAACAAGAAGATAAATTATACATTAAATGACAAGTGATCGATAAAAACTCTAATATCCTAAGAATTTCTTAATGAACTTTATCAGCCCTGTCAAATGAATAGGCGGCTCACAGGTGATCGTAGTAAACTCTGAAAAAAATATACAGCTTCTTACTTTCATTCTCAATTAGCTCACAACAAGACAGTTTGTAAACATGAGTGAGAAATTAACAATTTAAACTCCGTTCAGAAACATAGTGGGAGAGCCATCCTGCTAGATCAAAAAATAAAGGAGGGCAAAGAGACTAAGTACAAGAACCTACATGGTCAAAAGTTCCTAATTCCCTGCTAAGCACATGGCAAATCAGACAATATTTTAGCAATCTTTACCAAAAAAAACACACAAAAAACAGTAAGTAGAGTCCATTTAAGGCCACACTCTACTTCTTACTACCAAAATCCACAATTAAGTGATTTCTACTTGTTTTTTCCCATTTTCTCATAGAATTCCACTCAAGGACGAAAAATATTCAGTTTTGGAAATCATTCTCATTTATATAAAATCATAGAAATGGGAAATTAGAGAGAAACCGGGCTATCTAAAGGACCATTTTCAAAAGATAAAAACTCACCAATCATCGGAGCTATCAATGAACTATTTATTGTAATCTGCACACAAATCTTAAGAAAATGACACTAGCTTTCTTGAAATTGTAAACATTAATTTTATTACTTATAGAAGGCTTGCATCGAATGGCAAAAATAGTCAAAAAAGCAAAGTAAAAAAAATCATTTAACCCATTGATACCAGCAAACGCATAGATACGCACGCTACCTTTCATGACGGCAAACGCATTTGATACGCATGGCTTTGTTTTGCTCTGTCACGGGACGAGCACGGGAATGATGGGCCTGGTATGTTCCATAATGGGTACCTCATCCATTTATAAATATTATCAATCAAAGTCAAGCTTGAAAATATGAATTGTTATTGTGTTAAAAGCTTTTTTGTAGACTACCCTATAAAATCAGAGGTCGTTAGCTCCTCTGAAAATGTTTTTTTTTTTTTTCAAAAATTAGAAAAAGCTACTGTCACATTATTTGAAATTGCATGGTGCACGTACCTTCCAAGTTTCATGTCTTTATCTTGAATTATTTTTTATTTTTTAGCTTTTAAAGCCAAGAAATGAACATTTTGAGGAAAGAGCAAAAGCATCTCAAAATTTCTTTAAAGCATTGTATTGGCTCACAATGTTACAAACTTTATGGAGCTATCTCTTCGAAAGAGAGCTTTGGGAGTAATTCCATTTGATTTAGCACATAATTTTCAAGGGAAGTTTCTTAAAACCTCAAAAACATTGTTTGGCCCCAAACTGGACTCCAAAAACCCGCAGGTGGCCCCAAACCGAAAGCTTTTTTGAAACTTCTTTTCTGTGAAAAATATGTTACACTGACTTGAAACTTTGAGAAAGAAATCGTGAAAAATTTGTAAAATGTCACTAGATCTAGATACTGTTTTAACTTTAGAACCTTTCCTGATCACATCATTACAGGCTGAGCTTTAAAGTAGTCAGGCACTGAGGTCAAATTCAAAACTAACTGAAACAAAGAAAAAATTTAGGTCAATGTGATATAGCTGACAGCCGACCTATATATACTACAAGCCACTAAGCACATTGTACAATGTCACGAATGTCAATGACAAATTATGTTGTCAGTGAGCCTTTGGCCACTATGGGAAGTTAGTCTGACAGTCACTATTTGAATTATTGATCTAATAGGTCTTGCTGACTCAGCTTCATCCACCACGGCCTCAGGCTTCTCTTGTTGCATTTAATAATAAAACAGTTTCAAAGTTTTTCTATACCATGAAGAAAGAGAAGTTCTGAAAGTCTCTAGGCAGATAAACAGTCAATGGACAATGTACAGGATCTGTCTGACAACATACCCATTCTGCCCAAGAATTCTTTGCCTGAGATCTCTGTCTCTATAATCTTTGACTATACTATGGCCATGACATGAATGATCTCCTGAACTTGGACTTGTGCACTCAGACAGCAAAAATGAAACAAGTATCTGATCTGGGCTTTTTATGAATGAATTTCTGCTCAAACTTAAGATCTTTATTTAGTTCAGTCTCATCTGGACATGACTAAAAGAATTTTACAGGCTTATTGTAATATATATTATATATTGGCTAGATCTCTCTCTCTTGGACTAGATCTAGATCTAAACATGGCAAAAACTTCAAAAAGTTAATAAGTATATATAGATTCTATATATAGATCTAGGCAATTTAGGCCTAAAGAATTAAGTAGGAATGTTTCCCGAAGTACCAATAAAGGACCAAGAGGGGAAAACTATTTTTGGAAAGGAAGCTCATTCCAAACGATGGGTAGAGCATTTCAACAGTCTCCAGAACAGACCACCACCGAGTAACCCACCAAGCATCCTGCCAGCAAGAAATGAGTTACCAATCTGCTGTGATGCTCCTTCAAAACAAGAGATTCTGGATGCCATTAAGAAACTGAACAAAGGTAAAGCGGCCGGTCCTGACCAGATTCCACCTGAAGCCCTAAAAGCAGATGCCAATGTGACGGCAGACATCCTCCTCCCACTGTTTACCACGATCTGGAATGAGAGCAAGTTCCCAAAGGATTGGAAAGAAGGACACCTCGTGAAGCTTCTAAAAAAGGGGGATCTCAGCAACTGTAGCAACTACAGAGGGATCACTCTTCTCTAAATACCAGGTAAGGTCTTCAACAGAATCATTCTATCAAGAGAGAATCAAGGCAGCAATGAATCCAAGACTACATGATGAACAGGCTGGTTTCCAGAAAAATCGGTCAACCACCGACCAGATTGCCATGCTGAGGATTATTGTGGAACAGTCCCTGGAGTGGAACTCCCAGCTGATCGTCAACTTCCTTGACTATGAGAAGGCTTTCGACAGTATAGACCGAGCAACACTATGGAAGATAATGAGACACCACGGAATCCCACAGAAGTTGGTGTCTATTTCCCACCCCCCAGTTATTATTAGAATCTCAATCTAGAATCTAGATTCTAGATCTAGTATAAATATAGACAATCTAGATCTAGATTAGATACTCTAGAATCTAGATCTAGAATCTAGATCTAATCTAGATCTAGATTAAGATTATAGATTTTCTCTAGATCTAGATTCTAGATCTATCTTATTCTTAGTCAATAAAGGAAGTGGCTATTCTCATCCGGGGTGAGAATAGAAGAAAAACGATCTACCTCTCACCCCGGGTGAGACTTGCCAGCGTAGGCTATTCTCACCTGGTGCAAAACAAGACCTGCTTTTCCTCATTTTGGATACTGTCTTTCTGTGTGGATTATCAAATTGATAAAAGCCAAGAAAAAATTACGTTTTAGCACAAAAGTAAGCTAATTTGATCGTCTTTAAAGATGCTATGGCTATTTCACTGTTCGAATCAAGCCGAACTACGCGGGTCGCCATTTTGTTTTGCCCGGAAGTTCTCGCAAGATCTACTCCTCCCCTCTCTCTCTCTCTCTGTCTCTTTCTGAATACTGTCTATCGGTCTGGACGATCAAATTGACCAAAACAAAGTCAAAAAATGATGTTAAAACACAAAAGTAAATTAATTTAGTTGTCTACAAAAGATGCTACGGCTATTTACTTTTCGAATCGAGCCGAACTACGCGGGTCGCCATTTTGTTTTGACCAGAAGTTCTCGCGCTACTCCTCTCTCTCTCTCTTTCTCTCTCCCTCCACTGCCCACAGACAAAACAGAATCTAGATCTAGATCTAGATCATCTAGAGTCTAGTACGCTTTTAGTAGGCTACAGTTGTAATGGAACGTTTGTTCACGGCACAGAATTCTACAATTTTTCTGTTATCACAGTGTAGAATTCTGTGGTTTAGGGTGAAAGCAAAATTTGTTGGCCTAGATCTAGGCGATATAACGGTGAACGCGCACCGGGTGAGAATAGCCAAAAGACTCGCCTGCACTATTCTCATCCCGGGTGAGAATAGTATAGATCTAGATTTTCTAGATCTATATCTAGATATAGATCTAGAAACAGCAGGGATCACTTTTTTTAGGCCTACCTTCAAAGTTCCAATTTTTGCCATGTTTTCGCGAGTTCTTTTTCCCGTTCACTGTGCAGAAATTGGTATACAGTAGTATATAGATTCTATGACGTCTATCATGTAGCTGTCTCTCCTATCACTGGAGACGAGGTCAGGACTCGGCCAGAGGTAAAATTAAATGGTGACTGAATGGCGAATGGACTCGAGGGGCTTGTCGATCAAAGGTCAAAGTTATGGAATGACAATGCCCAGCAGTACAAAAATTATGTTAGGCGGAAATCAGATTTCAACTATTCATAGCTATCGCACTTTTACATGCGTAATAATATTATTATTATAAGTCATTATTATTTTTGATTATTATCATTATTATTATTATTATTGTTATTATTATTATGACGAATGTATTATTATTATTATTATTATTATTATTATTATTATTATTATTATTACGAATGTATTATTGTTATTATTATTATTATTATTATTATTATTATTATTATTATTATTATTATTATTATTATTATTATTATTATTATTATTATTATTGTATCGTTGTTATCGTTCTTTTTGTTACTTCATTGCTACCTTGTTTTGCCTACTTTTATTTCTTTTGGAATTATTTTATCGTTTATTGCTATCACCTTCATTATAACATATCTTCGGGCAGCGGCGACGAGTCCCACTGGGATTATCGTAACGATTGTGTTTTTACAATTCCTGTGAAGCCACGAAGAATTTAATAAAGCAATACATCACATTAATATTACTAATCTAGATTTTTATAGCATTCATATTACCGGTACTATTGCAATTATTATTACTAGATCTATCACTGTTTCTATTACTATTACTAGATCTATCACTATTACCATTACTACACATGTATTACTATTACTATTTATTACTATTACTATTACTATCATCATCACCATCATCATCATCATAATCATAATCATAATCATCATCATCTATTGTTAGGCCTACGGTACCTGTCGAGAAAACATAAATGATGTGTTTTGTTTTGTGTAAACCTAAGAGGACAGAATTTTGATTTGGTAAAAAAACAAACAATGTGAAGTCCCCAGAGTTGTGGTTCTTTCCGGCAGTGGTTCAGAGTTCAGTGATTTCCTGCTTTTCCTTACATTACATTCATCAATTCCTTGTTAGGTGCGAAGTGTGTCCCTGCCCGTGGGACAGTGTCCAATGGGCGAGACGAAAAAAACAATGATAGATTTGAAAATACAAACATTCCAGGGCTTGTAAAATCTCTTTTGTTGCGACGCCTTTTGTGGAAAGACTTTGTAAGATGAATTTGGTTAACGGCTTGATCTTTGCCTGTACCCTGGCCCTGTCACTGGTGGTTGTATCAGTTGGGCAAGATTTATCTCAGACTCAGAGCCATAATTTTCCTGTGGACTTACAACAAGGTAAAATTGTGATATTTTTGTTTGTTAAATGAAAAATGAAAACCAAATTGCCAATCGTAAGGGGAGGACTTCTGTAATGAGTGACCACTATGAGACAGTAGAACAGAAAGGTAGGGGAGCCGAATAGTGATGGTAGGGTTAAAGTTTAAGAAGTGCCTGTTTCAACTATTTGCAATGCCGCGTTGCGATTAGCACCAGTGCAAAATAAAACTCTACGTTCTGATTAGAGCCAGTGCTAAATAAAACACCGCGTTGCAATTAGCACCAGTGCTGTGTTAAATATCAAGCTTAATCTACTTGTTGTTACTGGAAGTTCTGATGGCCGAATGGACAGCGCATCTGCGTTTGAAGTCAAACCATTATTTTATGAGCGTGGGAACGAATCCCAGTCCGGAAGGTTTGTTTTTTGGGGGTTTTTTTCATTCTCCTCTTCCCGACTGACCAACAATTTTTTTTCCATAACTTGTCTTGTTGTGTAGTTTTTTATTTAGATCTAGATCTAGAATCTAGATCTAGATCTAGTCATGAAGCATTCACTTTCTGGTTTTGTCCCCAAGAGGAGCTTTTACCTACAAAGTAGGCCTATTTCACTTTGAGGTCCCACAGGTTTCCTACTTTCCCAATTTTTTGTCAGAATTTGGAACTTTTTCAAAGTCAAAGGGTTTATGTATTTTATGTCAATGGAAAGGTCTTTTAAAGAAGAATTTTTAAATGTTTGTTAGAGAAACAGCAAAGGCTTGTGAAAAAAAGTTATTTAATAAAATGTAACCTTACCTTGGTGCAAACAACACAATCCATGCACCAAATTTGGCATAATAATCCGTTTATAATCAAATTCACTGGCCACAAAAATCATTATATGTACACTGTAAAAATGAAAGGGAGTGTATACAGACCCGGTAACCGGGAATAAAGTCACAAAGTATACAGACCCGGTAGGGGAACTCTTTTGTGATTTCGGAAAGTTTCAGCACCCTCTTGGCTCAGGTTAGAACTAGGTTCTTCTAGATCTATGGCCTAGGTCTAGATCTAGACAGACAGATATAAATCATTGATCTAGTTTCGAGGCTAGCCTAGATCTAGATCTAAAACTAAATGAAGATTGCGGATGTCTTTTCGATGAACGATCGTTTTTCCCCTGTTTTGGAGTTGGAGGAATCACAATTCGAAGAAAAGAACAATGTCATAATTTCAATCAAGCAGTCACCCTCTCTCTCTCTCTCTCTCTCCCCCTCTCTCTCTCTCTCTCTCTCTCTCTCTCTCTCTCTCTCTCTCTCTCTCTCTATCTCTCTCTCTCTCTCTCTCTCTGTGTATCGCTCGCATTCTTTTTTTCTTTGTTTGTCTCTGTCTTTCGTTCCCTCCTGCCAACTGGCGGGCATGTCATATACCGTTGGCAGAGAATTCTAACCGTCTAACTCGAAATTTTTTCGAATTGCTTTTTTCCTTAAAATAGATCGACATAACGAATGGCTACGTCCTATTAAAATCTAGAACAATTTTGACAAACAAAAGTCTTGTTTTAAAGAGAAATTCTAACCGTATATTCCGACTGGCTTCCGTGACTGAAGAATTCTAACCGTCTAACACGTTTAGGTAGTCCGCCATTGTGGATCACGGCGATAACGTTTTGCTCTGAAGGAGGCGTTTGATTATAAATAAAATGTAAAATCAGAAAAGGCTGCTTTTGTTAAAGGGTTGGTTGACTGTGTCGAGCCCGTGGAGAAAAAGGAAAGAGAAAGCAGAAGATCGTGGTCCATGAAGTACCATCTGCGAGTGAATGGGGCCAGAGTAAAAGTGTGCACGGCTTTCTTCTTAAGTCCTGTATTTTGTTACTAGTGTGTTCACATTGTTCTGACATGTGGGTTGGGTGTAGCAGAGGGTGAGGTTCCAGTTCAGAGAAAAAGGGTTAGGGAGGAGACTACAGCATCAAAGAGGTACTTAAACAGTTTCTTCGTGATCTGCCCAAGTTGCCATCTCACTATTGCCGAGGGACTCCAGTAAATTATACTTGGAACCTATTTTCCAGAGCTTACAGGCAGTGTACCGCCATTTGTATAAAGAAAAGTATGAGTGTGTGTATGTAGGGGAGGGGTATGTGTGTGTTATGTCTCAAATGAATTCGAAGGTGCTCTGACTGCAAATAAATTTGCTCCTTGTGTGGTTGATTTTTTGTCATCTGATTTGACTCCAAATCATTATATTCAGATGGATGTGGTTGTATCAGAACTGCAAAGTCACAATGAGTTCTGCACTGTTACATTTCAGCTCTGTCAAAGGTAAAACTGTAACATTAAAATTCCTAGAGAAGGGCTATACACAGATGGAGTTGGACAGTGCTCACAGCACATCTACTACACAGCTGATTATGTCAGGCTAATGGAAGAAAGTAGGAAAATGAAGCCATATATATATGTAGTCAAGTATTTGACTCATTGTATCTTTTCTGATTTCATCAAACTAACCAACCAGAGTTTTCACACCAGATGGTCAAATTAAATACAAACTGAGATTTGATGATGACTGGTCACATCTGCCTTTGAAGCGCGGCGAGCCCACAGACAGTCTCCATAAAGACATGAAATGCCTCTGTACCAGGGTAGAAAGTTTAATTCGTCCATAGAGAACTTTAATAACACATGCAAGAAATGAAGTCTGTTGTGCCATCTGACTACCACAAGTTCTATGACAATCTAGAACTGAGTACGTCACCAGTGCGCAAGTTAAAACCCACGGTTAAGTCTAATTTGATATGCAGTGTATTGTGTTTTGGTTTATGTAGTTGTTTTTTTTTAGCTAACCAGAGCTTTAGCTTCATTGGGTAGAGCATTTTAAAGCGTCATAATGGTGCTTGGACAAGAGGATAATTCGTTCCTGTTGACACTGGATGCTGCTATGGCATACCTCATCTTGATGACTTTCTATGTAAAATGTGTTATTTAATTAGGCCATACATTAGGTGGAGATGCATTATATGAGGTTTAGTTGAGCATTTAAAAAAATCATATTACTAGAGTCTTCCAACCAAGTTAAACCATGATTTTAGAGTTAGAAATATTTCAGTTTCTTCCACTGGAGAACTGATGGGTTGCTTTTCAATCTTGCTCGACTTCGAGCCAAGACCAACATCAACAAACCGAACAAGAATACGAGACCTTTTCTTTGCCGGTGATGCTGCTGTTGTCGCTCATAATGAATCAACCCTACAAATAATCCTGTGTTTAAGAAGATTGAGATGGCTGGGCCATGTCAAGAGAATGGACGACAACCGGATTTCGAAGCAATTTCTCTATGGACAACTTGACATGGAAAGAGACCAAGGGGAAGGTCAAAACTGAGGTACAAAGACATCTGCAAAAACAGATTACCTAAGCTTGGAGTAGATGTCAGCATCTGTGAAGAAATAACGGAGGACAAGAAAAAATGGAGGAAAATGATAAATGAAAGAACTATTATGCTAGTGACTAGAGAGCAAGCACTGCGACAGAATCTGCACTTCAAACAGGAAAAAAGTAGCCATAAAAGAAGCTCCATGAAGACAATTCGTTATCGGAAATTCTTCTCTGCCCCCCCCTCACGCCCCCCCCCCCCTCTCTCTCTCTGTCTCTCTCTCTTTCTCTCTCTCTGTCTCTCTCTCTTTCAGACCCCTCCCCCTCTCTCTCTCTCAGTCCCTGCCCCCTTCTCTCTCTCTCTCTCAATCTCTCTTTCTCTCTCTCTCTCTCTCTCTCTCTCTCTCTCTCTCTCTCTCTCTCTCTCTCTCTCTCTCTCTCTCTCTCTCTCTCTCTCTCTCTCTCTTGTAGCTAGACAAGAAACCAATCCTTCTCACAATTTCCTTGAGAATGGAGGATCAAATAGTAGCTTTATAGTAAAAACTTAACGACGCACTTAATCTGTCGAAAAGCCCATTGCCTAATTAGAATTATGTGGAAATAAAGTGCGACGTTCAGTTTTAGATATAATAACAGTATTATTGTTAGATTCTAGATCTACAGTACTATGTAGTATTAATTAGAACTTTTATAGTAGGTATCCTATTGGATTGACTGCAGGTGTAGTCATTTCGAGTTGTTCGGTAACACTAACATGTCACGATGACTGAGTTAGACGTAACGAAGCGCGTGGCGTCCCCGCCGGGTTGGAGAATTCTAAACGAACATTAACGTTCGTCGACACTTGGACGGTTAGAAATCCAAAACTGAGCGGTCTATCCGTATAACTCTGGTTAAGGACTTAGAATAATAAAATTTCGGCAATTTTGTTTTAAATACTTAAAAGTAGAGTCATGTATTCCAGTCTAGCGCATTTAAAGACAGTAAATCCTCATAAGAGCCTTTGAATTCAGTTTTTTGTCTCTCCTGTAAAATTTACGAAATCGGAGTTGGACGGTTAGAATTCTCCGCCGACGATACATTTTGCTAGCACTTTTCCCCCTGCTCTCTCTCTCTCTCTCTCTCTCTCTCTCTCTCTCTCTCTCTCTCTCTCTCTCTCTCTCTCTCTCTCTCTCTCTCTCTCTCTCTCTCTCTCACTCTCTCTCACACACACACACACACACACACACACACACACACACTACCGGGTCTGGGCGCTGAAACTTTCCGAAATCACAAAAGAGTTCCCCTACCGGGTCTGTATACTTCGTGACTTTGTTCCCGGTTACCGGGTCTGTATACACTTCGAAAATGAAAATAATAAAAATAATTTTAATAAAATAATAAAAAATGGGAATAACTAAAAGAAAAAGAAATCAGTTGAAAAAATGTCTCCCAACGACGGAGCAGCTAAGATATAAGACCACGAAATCATCATCGGCAATGATCCGGACGGCTCAAAGCATTATAATCGGCATCAAACAAGCACTAAAAGAACGTGCTATTTTTGTCCCTAACGTCATTTGTTTACTTCCTACACATGCTACATGTGGTGTTGCAGTCTTTCAACAATATAAACATAATAAATATGACAGATAAAGGCGTGTAATTGGGTTGGATTTGTAATGGTTTCCAACGTTGGTGTGTTTCACTCGTAAGAGTTTAGAAAGAAAAAAACTTGGAAAACAAGACAAAACATCCACCTCTTCGAAAAGGACGCCAAAGAATGAAAGAATGGCGTCAATCAGAAGTAGTTTTTTGCCTCGGCTTTGCGGAAAGTCTTCGCGATTTTCCGTAAATCTCCTAAAATTGCCGATTTTGGCCGTAAGATGTCGGCGGCTCAGCAGGAGGGGTGCGTCACAAACGACTCTCGAATCTACTAATAATTTCTTCAATTTTCGCAAATTACAGCTTAAACTGATGTAGAAACGAGTATTGCGTAGTCTGAGCCTAAAAACCTACATTCATTTCGCTATTGGAAGTAAATTTGGCACTTGACGTCGAATAAAAATGTCAGACTTAGTCCTGCGATTTGCAACCACCATTTCGCTCTGTCATTTGCCGTTTGAAAACTATGCTAGATTTCCTTTTTTCACTTGTCACATTAGACATAGCTGCCACTTTCCCGCTAAATTGGGGAAACTCCGCTTCATCTAGCTTTTCCCACTACTTTCCTCCTTCCTCCGCTGGACCGCTCTCGGTCGCAGATTGCGATACTTTTTTTTCCCTGCGGAAAACACTGATTTGGGAGAGAGAGACGAAAACGCGGCTTGCGCATGTCCGCCCGTAACTTTCTACTTCCGTTCTTCTTGGTCTAGTTTATTGTGGAGCAACACAGTGTCGATGGGGCATTGGGAGGTTGACCCGCCGAGTTGTCTTTGAAAACAGCGGAAATTCGAGATAAATTGATGCCGAATGCAAAAATAAAAGGAGCTGGAATCAGAAAGAAGCAGCCAGTGTGCGACTTGAAAAATTCCTTAGAAAATTGGACAAGCCGCTTGCTGCCCTTTGCGTTTGGTGCGATAAAGTCACGGCCCGTGGCGCTCCTGTACAATTGCGGTCGCGTTTGTTTACATGACGGCTATTGTGGCTGTGGAAGTGAATCTAGATCTAGATAATATATCTCTAGATATAATCTAGATCTACACATATTTAGATTTCTAGATCTAGATTAGACAGCCTAGGCTATAATTTTAATTCAGTTTAGATCTCTAAATAAGAAACACACTACAGGGGCACTGAGTGCAAACGGGACCGCAATTGTACAGGAGTGCCGAAATCGCTCAGTACAGAGGCAAAGGTGTTGCGTCCTTGATCCAATACTGCTCTACTTTGATGTAGAAGTTTAAAGTGAGAGAAATCTTTTTTATGAGACACCAGCTGGCAACAAACACTGGATTTTTAGTCACCAAGTCCAAACTATGTCAAATTGACTCAAATGCTTGTTAGTCAACTTATTGCCTTTGGGGGTTTTTTCAAATACATTTTAATTTAGTTGCCTATGGTTAACAAATATGACAGTTTTCCCTTCCAAAACCGTGGGCTAGATTTTCCAGTATATATTGCCTCTTGATCTCACTGGTTGTACTCAGGCCTTCGGAGAGCGCGCGTACGTCTTCACCTGAATTTCCTCCTTTTTTAAAATTCCTGAGTGGCAGCTATGATTAGAAAAACATACTTCTTGCATGTTGTAGCCATTTTTTGAGAAAAGCTAGCATATATATGTCATTTAAAATGAAAATTGTCACACTCGTGAACATCGGGAAACGCACTAAGTCTAAATCCTTACGTCCATGACACTGTTACGCTAAATATCAAACAAAATTAACAAAGTCAACACTTGTTTTTAATTCACATGTTTATTGGACCCATAAACAATCAAAACAACAGCAATTGAACACAAAACAGTGAAAAGGAGAATTTTATTTAAAAAACAAACCCTGTGTTGTCTCTCACACCCTTACTGTGAAATCCGCCCTTTACTTTTCCTTTTACCAATTTAAGCCTGGTTAAAGTTCACTAGTGGGTTTCCTTGGTCTGTGAGTCTAATTTTTTTTTTTATTTATTATTTTAGTCTGAGGAGAAGAAAAAAATACCTTCCGGGACCGGGATTCGATGCCACGCTTGGAAGCACTGAACGTTAGAGAACATAGACAGCTTGTATACATTCTCTAGGCCTAACAATAGAGAATATGGACACTACCCCCTGTTAATTAAAACGCCGAAGCCTAGATCAGGCAACGCCAAGTGTGATGGCTAAATATAAAGTGCACGCAGAGATAATATTTTTAGGTATTGTATGACGACACCACTGCGGAGAAGAAATAATGCTTACCGAGTTACACCGTCTTGTTATTGTTATCCAAGCGTCTTTTGACTTACTTGCTCAGACTCAAACTCAAATGATTATGATTATGAGAGATGAACAAGACTACTTTTGTGCAAACAATGTCAGAAACAATTGTTATTTGTTTTAGTAAGTGTATAACGACACTTGCAACACAATAAGGTCATATAAGTGCCGAAGATTTGAGGTGTTACAAGAGAGTAACGAACGCAAAAAAGAAGGAGAGGAGATAAAGACGATAGATGTTTGATAGGAAAGAAGAAGCAAACCACACCAGAGCAAACCCACAACAATTGTTAGATCTAGATATCTAGATCTAGATCTACCCAATATTGATCAGAATAAGACAACGTCATAAAAAAATGAGTAAAATCCTTGGAGGTTTATCAAGAAACTGAGAAAGCTTCCTCGAAACAGACAGAACTACAATATTATTATGTAGAAACGATGGCTACTAGTACTGCCATTTCAAATAGCATGGGAGCTAACCAGAATTCGGCATTTCAAATAGCACAGGAGCTATTCAGAACGCAGTGTCGCAAATAGCGCCTGCCTAGGGTTTAGCCACTAAAGTTTAGGCTTGGGGTAGGGTTAGGTCTCTTCTTTATTGTGTTTGTTGGGGTGGTTGCTCGTTACAGAAGTCCTTCCATCTTAAGTAATGTGAGGTAATGGACAATTTTAAAATTTGTGAATCAGTGTCACCCATACTTTGCACAGCTGTTTGTATCAATTTGTCTTAACTTAATCATATTTTTCCACAATAAATGAGACTAGATCTAGATTAAAAAACTTTTCTTCGTAAATTTATATTTATAAGATACTGTAAATCTCCGCCACGCTGGAAAATGGGATTGTTCACAGCCCTTCTAGCACACATTTTGTTTACTTGGCCTACATCACAGCTCACCATTGACACTTTTTAATGGCAAAACTTGTTGCAAGAAATCAGTTTTATAGTGAACGAAGTTTTTGCACTAAAGGTTCTCAAAACATGCATTCAGTAAGCATAATGTCGCAATTAGAAAAAAAATGACAGACTTGCTTTTAAAAGCAATAGTGCCCCCTGTAAACCTTTCAAAATCTGTAGAAATCACCCACTAAGATATTTTATTAGTATTTATTAATTTATGTTCCATCTAGATCACTACGATCAGGCGATCAGTATCTTTTAAGAGTTCTTAGAAAAGGGGGTAGAAAATTAGCTGAAAGATCGTTTGCCCACCTTGCTCCATCAGTTTGGAACTCTCTTCCCCAATCCTTGAGACATACAACATCTGAGTCTAAATTTTAAAAATCTTTAAAGACACATTTAATGACATCATTTTTATATTAGTAGATTCATGTTAAGTACAACGTTATGTAAATGACTATGTATCCATTTATGTATTTAGTGAATTGCATTGTGTATATTGTTTTATTATATATGTGCTCTTTTCGTGACGATGTGTAAGCGTGCGCGTGTGCTAAGCAAGTTGATGTGTGTGTGTGCATGCGTGTGTGTGTGTGTGTGTGTTTGACGTACATGTGTGCACATGTGTGCGTGTGTGTGTGTATGAGTGTGTATGTGCGTGTGTGTGTCGCGTGCGTGAATATTGTTCGTACATGCATTTATGTAAAGCGCCTAGAGCTGTGTTTACACGGGAGTGGGCGCTATAGAAATGATCTTCATTATTATTATTATTATTAATTTTCTAGAATACAGCTTGCAGGTGTTTACAAAAATCTTGGTCAGTTATGACAAATTGATACAAGTTATTGTGCAAAAGTTGGAGAACCCATTTTCAATAGTTGAAGAGATATTTGACTATAAGTTGCGCCGTGAAATTTTTACAGCACGATAATTAGTCCTCATTTTTGGAACTCTTAGGCTGACTGATCTTATCAAAATATTGGTCAGTAAAATTAATTTGATGGACTAGCCAAAGTGAAAAAGTCTCTCTTCTTTTTTCGGCTGTTGCTGCAAGTAAGAAGAAGTTTGAGTCCCTGTTGTTTATTTTTAAAAAACAACCTTTCGTTATAATGAGCATAGTGATCTTCATAATATTATGTTTTTAGAGTTACCATTTTTCTTTTAACGCTTTTTTTTTACAGTAACCCTGGGAAATGTTGAAGATTGTGGACAGTTTGTGGATATGAAGGCTCAGAAGAAGTACAGTCTCACCATGAACCTCACGTCTTCAATTTCAATTTGCGGAACTGTCCCAAGCTCCGATGGTCCAATGGGATTTGAATGTCAAATAACTTTCAACTATGAGGACGTTTTCTCTCGAACAGGGAACCGGCTATGTGTGGATGTACAAGGGATTCCGTCATCTTTTGGAAATAGGACACAGCTGCGGCTTGTTGTCGGTGACAATTTGAAGGTATACTTTAAGGGTGGTGTAAAGTTTTAGTGGGTGAAATAGAAAAAAAGCATACACGGTTCTGTGCTCATGAACTGACTTCAGTTTACAATCAGTGCGTTGTATATTCATTTTGAATAATTGTTATGGCTTAAAAGGTTGAGTTTTAGTCAATTTCTGTGTCCATGTCTGGGTTGTGAAGGTTTTCGTCTCTGACAAATGTAATATGGAGGAATTTATTAAGGGAGGAAGCAAGGAGATTCCGTTGTGAAAGGATCTCATCTTGAATAGGGTTCCGGCATGTCAGATTCAACTGTACCTGTTGAGTCACAATTTTACTTTGAAAGGAGAAGTATGGTAAGGAGAAGGCTGTAGGCACTGCTACCATTTCCAGTAGTTCAAAGATTTCAAAACTTAACAAGTGTTACCAATTAATAAAGGGTGACCGTATTTGGGTATATATAATGTAGCCCAAATAAACACTCTCCTTATAGGGACTATATATAGCCGAAATTTAGGTAACCCCCCCAGGTAACCTTATTAGGGCTATACTCACTGACATAACCAAGCATCCCTCCTAGACCTACTAAATGCCAAATGCAGTGAAGTCAATCGAATGAACAGCAGTCTTCACACTAGAGACTTGGATGTCCATTTGAAAATATAAATGAGAAGCAGAAGAAGATACAAATGATAACTTTTCACTTGCCACACACTTGCTTTGCAATGAGCTGTCCAGTTTCTCCACTCCTCAGAAGAGTGATCAATGTCATTGTGTCAAATGAGAGTAATGGCAGCTTGTTCTGATGCTGTCTGCTTGGGTGCTGGCACATTTGATGATGGTGAAGGTGGTTAGAGTTTTGTCCTTTCATATCTCTGATCCAGTGGCCAGTTTGAGTCCTTTGGCCTGTAGATATGGCAAAGAATTTTACAGGTTTTTATGAGCTGCAGTTTGTCGTTGCAAAAGCTTTTCCTGACATCAAGGAAGGCAGGTAAGTAGGCGGGGCAAGTAAAGAGTAGGTTTGGGACCATTTCATCCTGTCAGTCACACAGTGGGCAAGGGGGGGGTTGCTATCCTCATGGTCCAGTTCAGTAAGAATTCAGTGTTGTGTTCAAAGGCGAAAGATAAATTTAAAAAACCTGTTCTCTTCTACGCAGGGAATTTAGTGCATCTTTTTGAAATGGTTTAAAAATGTTCTAAGTGGTGGCAGATTGTTGCTGTAGGGATTTTTCTTTCATTGATTTCAGGGAGTTAGGTTTTTGTGTGTGTTTGTGTGTTTTCTTTAGCTTGCTCTTCTTCTTTTGCAGACTGTGAACAGCTCTAGCCTACTGAAACCAAAATCAGAACCCTACTACGTATGTGCCAGTCCAACAAGCAAAATCATTTCCCTGTCACTGCTTGTGAGGAAGTCGGTGCCCATGTGCAGGACTGGCCTATATGGGGCTCCCTCCATCACGCAAACTCTGGTGGGTAACCCTGTCAGAATGGGGACAGTGACCCTGAGGGAGGATGTTCCGTCTTGTGAGTTGTTTTGCTTTTTATTTGCTTTTTTTATGTGGTTTGGATCGTAAGTTGTTGAGTCAGAGCTTATGATGAGCCCGATTGATAAAAGCTGCATTTTTCTACCTTGTGGAGAATATGTTCTCATGATTTAGTAAGTTTTTGCTAGCTTTAAGCATTTAGCTTTGACTTCGGAGTCAGGTTTAACATGATTTTTTTTTTTCAAGTTTTATGTGAACTTTGTAGTGGTATAGATTGTAACGAATAATGTCAAATATATATGTAACTACATCATAAAATTAATCTTTTTTCCACATTTTGGCCTCGCGTAACTATTCTTAATCGATGAAAGGTGGAGAAAATGAGGACAACAGTTTTTATGTAGCTTTCTGTTGTGCAAACTCAAAATGATTTAAACCAAAAAATCAAGGAAGCTGCAGTTTTGCGAAAGTGTTATGCAAAGTTTACAAGGGGACTCTTGTTTCTACCTCAAAGACAGCCTGATATTTATTTTTGGCTAAAATTAGGTCAAATTCTATCAAATTGTATACACTGAATTGATTATGCACAAAACTTCCATATGAACAAAGAATGCAAAAGATAAAAATATAGTATTTCAATGCCAACTATGGTTATAGTCCCAATATCTAAACTGAGCAGTGAGCAAAAGAATGCTCATTTTGTAGTACTGTCTTACATAACAACTGCAGTAATAGTAAGTGTTGTTACTGTAATAGTAGCTTTGATAGCCAAAGAATTTTGGGGTAAATTTGTGTTTTGTCCTAAGTTTGTGTTTTGCTCTCCTTGCCATTATCATTATCATTTCCTCGCCACCCCTCCAACACCCCACGCATGCACAAACACAGACACACATCCACACACACACACATGCGCGTGCGCGCGCGCACATACACACACACACACACACATGCACACACACACACTGATGTGTATGTGGAAGAGGGGGTCGGCTACACTTGTTTTTAATTTGAAGTACCACTCCCTACTTACAGATGATCTACTTGAAGAGCATTGTGGTCAATCATACCTTATTCATGGTGATCACTACTTCATCAAGTTTGACCAGAGCCGGTTTTCTCTAAAGCAATGCCAGGGCAACGTGACACACGCGTTGGGCTACTCCAAGAGCCAAGGTTGTCTTCAGCTGCAATACCTTAGTCAAAATTACGGATGTGATGTCTCCATATCCCTGGGCCAGAAGATTGGTAACTGGATACGGTTCACTGTGCCTCAAGGCGGACGGCTGCGATACCCTTCTCTACCTTTGTGCGGCACATTTTTCCACACCGAGGGTGATGTCTTGCTTACAATAAAGAAGAATGGTTCCCCTTGTGACGGACAGTTTGTGATAGGAGTAAACTTCACTGAAGTGGAAGATGGTGGTAAGTGTGCACGACATAAACTGACCCCTTTAATTAATGTCCTGATATATGCTTATAGTTTTATATACGCTCTTGCTTACTGACATTATATATGGTTGGTATATATTATATATATATAGTCTATATATATATATATATGTATATGAAGGGCTCACAGCACAAGGGAAAAACCAGCGACGTCAGGTTTTTGCAATTCCAAGACAATTGAAAAACAAACTTTAAAGACTTGTAACTCTTTTTCTGCTACAATGATCTCTACACTGTTTACATTGACTTCAAGTATGACCATTTGTGTTGACAATGAGAAATTTTCACAGTCTTCATGTTATGGGTGTTTAGGTGAGAGCAAAATAGAAAAATTATGTTGCAAACTGACAGCTCTGGTTTTACCCTTATAAGCTGTTGGCAAGGTCTCCATCTTCTATGAAGTCAATGAATTTTGAGCTTCTTTACTCATTTGTGAATACAAACAAAACTAAATGATCCAAACTATAAAATTGCGCACCATTTTGTAATATTTACTATGTTTTTAAAAAATTTAAACTTTATTTAATATTCATTTTTGGATGGCAATTCTGAGTCATCAGACTCTTGTGTGGCACTTTGTCCTCCAGCACGGGCAATTCAGAGAAAAGCTGTCGGGCCAGAACACCTTCAAGACCTTTATGTCTGCATATTTGGCAGCTTTGATGGTCAGCAGGCTCTTAAAGAGGGGTTTCAGGGGCTGGAATCTTGCAACGCTCTTCTTTTCCACCGGCTTCAAAATGATTGCTGTGTCAAACGGACCATTCCAGTTCTCTCTATACTGCATTTGCTGTGGATGGGCCTGTGAGATACAGATTTCAAGCATAGGTCGAGTGGGTATTAGGCAGGAGACACGGTAGTACAGTTTAAGATTCTCTGACACATTCTGGAATACGGCTTGTGTCATCCCCACCATCTGGAGCAACGAGGGTTTCTGAAAGGCTGTCTTGAATAGCTCCACCCAACTGGCTGGCATACCAACAGTGACCTTCTCATTCACCAATGCCATGTCTCTGTCGCTTTCCTTGTAGCTGTGTCCTCTCACTGGAAACAAAATTTTCACTTTTCCGTACCTTTCCTGGTGGACAACAACATGATGGAGAAACCAGATCACCGTCCAGTTCTTGTTTTGGCCTGGGCACAAGTCACATCAACTGGCAGAGTGTGTAGAAAAGAAAGTAACGTAGCTACATGCTGACCACATCTTCTTCACCTTTTTTGCTGACTGTCTCGTAACAGTTCAGGTGTACTGTTTCATAACTTAGCGAGAAGATTTTAAAGAAAAGAGATATCAGCCTACGATTGTACAAGTCGTTTGCTGAGATGTTTGGGCAGCCCAAGTTCTTCTCTATGAATGATTTTCTCATTTAGCAGCGCATGTAAGGCCAATGCAGTGGTTCGAGCCTCAGCTCGGTCCGACGTTGTGTCCTTGGGAAAGGTACTTTACATGAATTTCCTATTTGGTTCAGTCCTTTAACTAGAAGATCCCGCCTCTTAAATAACCTAATAGTGTTGACAGGGGTGTTAAACCTATACCATTTCACCATTTTTCACAGAAATATGACCACTGATTGGTCACAAGGGACGCATCAAAGAAAAGTGCGCTTGACATTCCTGGTTTTTCCTTTGTTGACATCCTGTCGTCGCAGGTTCTTCCATTGTGGGCTATACAGTGGAAACCATATAATATAACAGGCCCGTTAACTTTTTTCCTACCAGACCAAAATCCACCACTAGCCCAGGGCTTTTCCCTGACCTATTTTTACACCCCTACCCCACCAAAGGAAAGTGTCGAAACACCCAACAAAACACACATAAGCCATATCATATGGCCCATCAAACTGAAGGTTCAAAAATTATCTATGAGATGGTGATGCAATGTTGAAGATTTATTCCAATTATATTAGTTTGGGGTTTCTAAAAGTGATTATGCAGTATCGAAGGTGTCATATGAAATCAACAATTTTCCAGCGTTGAAAGGTCATATCTAAAAACGTACAAAAATGGCATCATTCAAACTTCCCAGGAAGGTTCCCTCAAATAATGCAAAGAAATGCTGAAAGTTATGTATGTGTACCTAATATATGAGACATATACTGAAGTCAGGGGAGCGCATTTTTTCTCATTTTTACGTTTCGAAGGGGACAACAACAAAAAAGTGCTGAAATGACTAAAAAATCGTCTGTCAGTGCTATATTTTCTTCTGTATCTGCTAACAGGAAGTCTATTCTATTATTTTGAAAGCGTGGATCGGCCGAGAATTTTGTGTCTTTTCATTACTGGATTGGAATAGATAGCGACCCACTCGAGCTGTATTTTGCGGCTCTCGGTCCAGCGAGGCCACATCCGCGAGCCGCAAAATGTGGCTCGCAGTAGGGAACGTGTTAATAAGAGGGATCCGGTAATAGCAGGGATTTTTTTTAAATCCCCATTTTTTTCCTACTTTGTCTCTATTAAAAGTTATCTGCAATAACAGGGCCTCATCGGAGCCCAATCGGTTATAGCAGGGACAAAGGCTCGTTAACAATGTGTAAAAAGTAAGAGAGAGAGTAACGCAGTGATGGAGCAAGCACCCGCAAGCCACACCACGCCACTGCAAGCACACAAGAGAGAGGGCTGCGGTGTGTTGCAGACTTCGATCTAGCCGTAAGCCAAGCTACACGCACGCGTAATGTATCCCGCGCAGTGTACTTGCGGCAAGGGAAACTACCCATGAATAAATACAGCTGGATAAATCCACAAATGCTACTTCCCCTGCATTTCTGATGTAACAGTAATCTGATATAACAGAACTTTTTCTGTGGTCCCACCATCCTTGTTATGCCAGGTTTCCACTGTATTTTCGAACTCTCACAGAGACTGGAAGCGCTCGTTTTTCCATATGTGACTTAGACGGAGTAAAGCAGACCCAGCCAGGCATCATGCTTGGACAATAACCCAGAAAATCAAAAAAATCTGACATTGCTTGTTTTTCCTTTGTGCCCTTATATATATATATATATATATATATATATATATATATACAGTCAAACCTGCCCTGACGGCCACCTCTATAAGACGGCCACTTTCCATTTCCCCCCTTGTGTTGTTTCTATATAATTTAACTGTGTAAAACGGGCACCTGTCCAACGCAGCCGCGGCCACCATATTTTAACACACAACCCCTATCACACAAAGCAATAACACCTGTCTTAGACGGCCACCTCAGTGACTCCATTACGTTTTGTCATAAATTGTGCATTGGCCCCTGGCGTTGTAGGCGAGCCGTCATAATTCAATCACCTGTCATTGTTGTTAGGTAGTCCCTTCAACCGATCATGTTGCGTAGGCCCCTCCCACTGTTGACCAATAGCTACCAATTTACAGCTGCTGGTGAGGTAAGCATGTGATCCCTCAAAACCCATAAGCCCCGCCCAGAACTCATACTCAAATCGTAAGTGAGATGAGTGGTCACTGTTTACCCAGTGTGTAACAGTAACAAAGGACGTCAACAAGAACTTGTGACAGAAGCGTCGCTCGTTCTCCGAGTGGTGGCGACCCATGTGTTTGTTTTAACATGGCACTCGGTCTTCCTCGTCTGATACATTTCGTTTTATTGTCACCCTTGTGCAAAATCAGCAACAAAATAAAAATTACAAACAAAATACAAACCACCACCACCAACAACAAAAACAGCAACAATGCGGCTACTTTCGATAGGGACCTCAGATGGGAATGGTTCATTTTCTTCATCTTGATCAGTCCTGCCTAAGATGGCCACCTGTCTTATACGGCCACTTTTCTCCTTGACAATGGGTGGCCGTCTTACACAGGTTTGACTGTATATATATATATGTTTATGTGTGTGTGTGAATGTAAATACAGGGTGATCCATAAAAAACTGTACAACTTTTTTTGTTTATATTTTCCTCCACACTGAAGTTTTGCTTTTCAAATTTGAACACAACATTTGGAAGTCAAAAGGAATTTGTCTGATATTCGTTTTAGATACATCCACAGAATAGTTTTGGTCTACATAGCATGTAAAAAAAACAACCCCATTTTCAACGATGTCCCCATTTTTGTAGCATGGCGCACTAGTTCGCATTAGGCCTACCACTAAAAATCCCAAAGATCGCGCCATATTCAAGCTTCAGTAGTCTAACAGGCCAACAAAAGTTTGCCAATAGTCTTTCTCAAGTTTCTTTTGCCTGCTGAGATCATGGTTAAGCAGAGAGCTTTTTGTTTTGAACATTTCCTCACCACCTACTCATTTCGCAAGTTTCGCACAAGGAACAGAAATTATGTTATAGCGCCCTTAAGGCCTTCTTCGATGTCAAGGGTGAAAATGGTCCATTAGTTAGGACCTGTAGAGAATCAGAACTAAAAATTCCCAGACAAAATGACCACTTCAGGTCAAACACACACTGTTCGCACCCCTTTAAATGTCACCAGGGTGCAGAATTCAGTAGATGAGCCCCATGAGACGTCTGTCCATAGATGATGTCTGCACCAATGACTTTACCCCATCTCAATGGTCTTCATTCTCAAGGCAGATCTTCATCTACGACTGTCCCATTTTCCCGTTCGCGAAGCTATCAGAGGATAGCAATGTGTTCATGATTCCTCGATCGTCTTGAAAAGCGTGAACATATCTTCTATGACATTTGGTTCCTTGGCAAAGCCCATATTCACCTTTCAGGTTATATCAACTCCACAAATGCTGTCTATTTGGACAACCTCATGCCGCCCTATTGTCTCGAGAAACAGCTCGATACTGTAAGGTGTATAGTGTGTGTGGCTTTGAGTACTCATGTTTGAGTGGATCTTTGTGTTTAGCCTCCACAGAACATTACGAACGACGCGTTAAAATGTGTCGAGTCCAAAGAAGGACATATAGACCATTGGTTCTCGAAATTCCAGAATTTATAAAATATGTTTTTTAACTCTGTAGGAGAAAAGAAATATTGTTTAAAGGTTACAGGGATGAAAAGATTAGATTTTAAAAAGAAAAGGAAAGGAAATAACAAACCATTCGTTTTATGACTTTCCTTACAAGCTCATGTAGACACTGAGGCTAGGTGCCCGGTTATCGTGTACGTATACACACAATAAAATAATGTAAAACGCCTTAAGCTGCGTTCACACGGGAGTGGTCGCTATAGAAATGACCTACATTATTATTACTATTAAATGGAGAGAAAAAATTTGCTGTATTTTACGATTTGACGAGTTAAAACAACACCATACTGGTTTTAAAAAATAGAATATCTGAAATACATCTAAATACAGATTACCGGTGTATCGAAGGTTTCAAGAGAAAAATAGAATAGGGTCAGAATTGATTGGAGCATAAGCTAATTTTGCATTTAGAGGTTGTTCGAATCTCCCTTCAATTTTTTTTGTTTTTATAGACTAAACCTCATACTACACTTCTAGATCTTCGCATAAACCAAGTACCCGGTATGTACTAAATTTGGTCAAATTTTATGCCTTCATTTAAAAGTTATTACGAAAACCGAGGGTTCAGTTATTTTGGGTCATGCTGTATTATATTATATTTGGTCGATAACTTTATTGTTAACGTACTCGTGTGTTGTTACTAGTAGATGTTAATAAATTTGTATTGTGGGTCATGATTTTTTTAAAGGCTGTTCTGCTTTTATGCTACCGGTACTCAAATTGTCATGTTTTTTTAACTAAAAATGTTGAGTCCATATTAATGCACCTGGGATGGGAAGGGTGCAATTTTTTCCGATTTTTAGGCTGTTAACCTTTCAATTTTTTGCAATTTTTCTATTTCAAGTCTTTTAAATTTGTGCATTTTGCATTTGTAGGTGGTTTTTATTAAAGCCATTTCCGTTTTCCAAATGAGTTTCTTCTTTGTGAATTTTATGTCGAACAAATTCCTTTTAGATGAATTATATCTGTTCCAAATTACCTCTTTCGAGTACAAATTTTGTGTGAGATATTCAGAAAAAAAGTTGTACAGTTTTTTTTGGATCACCCTGTATCTGTATGGGAGTGTATGATACAGATATTTGTATGTGTGTGTGTATGTGGAGCAAGGGGATAGCACTCAGTGTGTCGCCATGTCAAATGTGACTGTATATCTGAGTGTTCTGTGTAATCAGGTTCACAAAGAATATCAGGCTGCTCCAGCTTTGAAACGAATGCCCTGTAGATCTATATATTATTTTCTTGTCTTTGACTGTGACCATTCTCTCCCTCCCCGCCCCCCCCCCCCCCCCCCCCTCCCCCATTGGGTGTCATTGTCAGGTGGCAGTAAATTGGGGAAAGAAGTACATTGTGTCGCTTGTGTGTGATAAAGTATTTAAATGTCTACTTGATCTTGAGCACTTTATTCAGTACTTACTTGACTTACTGTGCACATAGGCCTCCACTCGCAGAGCGGCCACTGCGTGGGTTGCTATGACGCCATGCGCAATGATAGAGACTTTTAACTTAATTTAACAGTGAGGGAGCTTGAGTAGACTTCAATGTTTTTACAACCGCTCATCGTCATTCTTCCAGCAATACTATTTTAATTGTGTGTGTGTGTGTGTGTGTGGGTGTTTGACGGTTGCTCTAGTGTGGTTTGTTCCTTTTTTTCCCATCAAACATCTATCGTCCTTATCTCTCCTCCTCCTTTTTCGTATTTGTTACTGATATCTTTGTAATACCTCTAATCTTCAGCACTTATATGACCTTATAGCGTTGCAAGTGCTATAAAACTCTAATTAAAACTAAATCATGTATGTTTTTTGTTAGATAATGACAAGAAGGACGATGGCAAGGACGATCTCCGTCACCTGTACATGGCGGTGTTCATCACCCTCATCGCTGTGTGTCTCCTCATCCTGGGACTCACCTGCGTTTGCTGTCTCAGAATGCGAAACAAGAGAGCCAGACAAGCAGCTCGACGACTGCGGAGCAGAACAAGTGAGTCTTTTTCTTTTAGTTTTAATTAGAGTTTTACGGCATTTGCAACACAATTAGTTTATTTAAGTGCAAAAGATTTGAGGTGTTACAATAGCATAACAAGCACAAAAAAGATGGAGGAGAGATAAGGACAATAGATGTTGGATATGAAAGAAGGAGCAAACCACACCTCAGTAATTGCCAACCACCCAGTCTTTTTCTGCCTAGCTCACAATTACTAACAGATCACTCCACAGTTTGTCAAACGTGATTGTTGTTGATGAGATGGTGTTTGTTTTTACAGCCAGTGCTTTTTGTTTTCCACTGTACTTGAATCCTTGGCTAATAGTAAAAGTACTTTGACTGTAAAATACAGCTTATCAAATTTTCATCTCCACTACTACATTGAACAAGATGAGATGCACAACTTTTTCTGCATTTATCATAACAAAAATGTTGGAAATGTAGTAAGACTAATAATGAAATTATGTAAGCAGCATTTACCACACAAAGGTAGTGTTAGAAAGGTGTATGCTGATGATTAATTTATGAGAGCTATTACTCCTGGAGACAGATGTTCACATCAAACTGCTATTGACCTCTTAGAGTATTGTGAAAGATTTCCAGGTTATGTATTATGACTGCGGCTGATAAGGACCATTGCATCTTGCGCATTTATGGAAATTTCTTTTAGTCATTTTCTTTTTTAAGGCTTGTGCAAATATTGCTTTAGGGTGAGTTTAAATTAGTCTGTTAAAATAGCTATTTTGCGGACATGGCCTCCTTTTGACCAACACCATGGATGTGTAGGAACAATTGAGGCAGTTCTCTGATTACTTTCAGTGGTCTTGAAGATCGTTTGACTTCTCTTTCTTGCAGGTGCCAATGCAAGTGACAACGAGGGATTCCAAACAACAGTCCCGTATGATCCGTCTTTGTCTGCTGTTTTTTGGAATCCTGATAACCCTGGCCAAGTCTTTGGACTGCCAACATATGAAGAAGTCATAGGACAGAATTCAGGGGTGAATCCATCCTCAGATGGCAACAAAGACGACTTGCCGCCAACCTATGAGTCTTTGTATGTCTCAGACTCCTAGAGGTCAACAACACAATGTTGCATAAGAGCTTGATGGAATGTTTAGAAAGGAATAGAGATATTATATTTGTATTTTCCAAAGCCAATCTTTAACTTTATGACTTTTTGAGTCTGGGGTATGATTTTGGTGGATATTTCCATACTCCAGGGAGTGTTTGATTTTCCAAACATTCCTTGGTGTTGAAAAACAGATTGTGTTATGTTTAATCGACAAAATGAACATATGTTTTATAGTTTTTTCTGATACATTCTTGAAATTTTGCAAGATTCCAGTGTGAGGTCAGAAACAATATGGATTTGAGTCCTTCTGTACATTCGCAGTGTTGTGACTTGAAGCTGCATTTTTATCAAATTGTCTTGAATGCACACTGTTAATTCTGTTTTATGCAGTTACTACAGATGATCACATTTTATGATTCTACCTTCCACTAAGATGAGTTTGCATCTTTCTGTTTTGCAACTTTGATTTAATGAATGAGGAAGACCAATCGGATATACCTTCCATGCTGCCTCATAGATTTATGTAGTTTACATTAATTGTGGACCTTCATGGGAAAGAAGAAAAGCAAGCTCCTTACTACAAGTCTAACTGCTCCATATTCAGGAAATTTATTGAAGATTGAAGGTTCACGTGTATGCTTAGAAGAGGGCATGACTATCACCTCTGACCATGAGAAAGAGTGAGAGACAGGTATAAAAGGTTGTGAGTAGGGGTCCCTCTTGCTTGTTGCATAGTTTAACTCTTTATCTCCGGCAAGCCGCTCCCAGCTGCCCGCTGTCAGCACCGCTGTGCCGGTGAGCCGCTGACAGCGGCTCGGCCACGTTCTCTTATGTCGACTTCGTCATCAAATTGCTTTTCGGCAGTTTCCAAAGACAGGTCTCTTTTACCGTGAGTTCATTCATTAGATGAAAAACTATCAAAATAGGTTCACTTGTTTTAATTTAATGACCAATTTAGTGACATATGTCACTTTTGCTTTTACATTTCGTATAGAAAAAGGGCCCAGGCATAGTGAATTTACCCCTCTCAGAGGTAGAGAGTAAAGCTTCCCGGAGCAATTACACACTTCTGATTTCAACCTTCAGTTAACTTTTCAGTGCCCTTGCTCAAATTCACAGGTTGACCGTTTGACCTACTCTGCTGTGCCCATTGATTTGTCTTTATTTGTAAAAGGAAAGGATGAGATGTTTCTGAAGAGTCAGTCAGTGTAGTCACTGTTTTATGAGTCTTTCATTACTGTATGTTACCTTTTTTTTGTCAGTTTTGTTTGCTTCTACTATGTTACTTAAAAATTAAGAGATGGAACACTATCTTTTATGCTGGACTGTTTTTGTGGACCTTTATTCAAACTTGATCATCTGCATCATATGAAAATGAGGAAATTATTTACATACAGTAAAATTTATTGGTTGGATTGTAAAAAATGTCCTATTGCTAAATGGCCCTGATTGGAGCTGAAGGTTGAATTTGGTACATTACGGTTTTAACTCTTGCCTCACATTCATTTTTCCACACACTGATTTTTTTAACAGGGTGAAGAGCTATGAGATAATATTCTTTTCATACTAGAATACCACGAAAATGTTTAAACAACAGGGTGGAGTCTGACTGGCCAACAGAATGCAAAGTAGGGAATGTAGAGGGTCATGTTTAGAAAAGTTATTTGGATAAACAATTTCATGCACAAGGCCTTTCAGTCAGTGAGTCATCAGAGCTATGCAATGGGTAGTTTTGGAGCATTTTTGTGTTTGAAATCAAAGATATATGCTGTTTTTCCTTGTGTTCCTGTGACTCTGATTCTTGTCACTCTCATGTTTGATGATGCTGTAATGTTATGTAATCATTCCCGGTTTATACAGGCTTTTATTCTTGAAACGAAAGTTCTACCTGTGATCTTCGCATATAAATTTCAAAACAACAACGTATGCTTATGAAATATGTGCATTTAAAAAGCTTGTTAGAAAACGCATTGGGGAAACTGCTTGGCTCATTGTTCTCCTGGTTTTGTTTTTCTTCTCCCTGCCACTGCGTTGGGCATGTTACACGCTTACAGTTGGAACGAAACTGTTCAACTGTTCTACCTCAAGATGATCCTCCATCCTCTGATATATTCTGCAGGGTTATTTCGAGATAACTTCAGCAAAACGATGTCATAATTTATTTTTTTTTCATTTAAATAAAGTAGCCGATGAAATAAGTGTTGAAAGCACATAGTTGGCTAATTTTGATGCATGTACACAAATTTAAAATTGGAATTTATTTTCTAGATTATGTGAATACTTTATTACAGACTCTGTAATTCCATGAGTTGTCAGGTTATTCTGCAAATCATCAACTTTGAGTCCAGCCTTAGGTCTAGAGCAGACAATATCGGTTTAAAAATAATTGAGTGTAGTACTGCAAACCTCATGTTTGTAAATTACTTGTTTCATGAGACTATTGATTCAAGTCGTGGATGTAGGCTTACTTCTAATAGTTTGCACACTGAGTATGAATAGTTAACTTGGCAGGAGCATGCCATGCCGCAGGGAATTTATTTCATATTGCCAGTCATTCTCTCTTTTTGCCATTTGTATCATAACAGCCAGGGGCTGACAGATCTGCCGTAAGCTGACAAAACGCCTTTTTAAATATTTTTGGCGCTAACATTTTTTATTTGCTAAATCGAAAGCCTGATCATTTCCCTTACTTGTGTAAAAAAATCAAAGTGAGACTGTGACTAGTTTTTTAATAAATTAGAATTCAAATTTCGGAAGAACGCCTTTTTTAAATGGTTACACTCACAAAAAGCCTCTTTATCTCAAAACTGCTCTGAATTTTTATTTTAAGACGTTTTGTCTGCTAAGGCAGAGATCTGGTGATGTCTTCTGAATGAGTAAATTTCTAAAATTTCGTTACATACATCAGACCTGCCAGTCACTCTATGACCAAAAATTGGAGTTTACCTCAGAATCCTCAGTGCTGCCAAAAAGTAAAGGGTTTTGGAAAAAAATTTGGAAGTATCCAGAATCCCAGTAGATTACTATGATTATGTTACAAACCGATTGTGGCAAATAAACATGTATTGCAAACACACATAAATAAAGGTAAATAGAAATGTATATTTTTACATTGTTTACAATCATTTGCGCAAATACATACAAATAATTGATATAGAAAGGTGTATTTTCAATGCCTCTACGATATGTCGCAAAAGACCCAAGGGAAATGGAATTTAAGGGAAAAAATTGTATTTTATGGAAAATTGATCAGGGTTTTTCGACGGGCAACAAAAAATCAGAGATCTTCGGTTTAATCAGAGTACATTGTACTAGGAAGTTCTTTATACATGTATGTTGTTATGGTATGAGCCACCATTAAAACGTGTAAATAAAGAACACAATACAGCAAAAGAATTATAAAATTTATGTTTCCGCCCTGCCTCAAATTTTCAGACCTTTTGTGAGGGAGGACTGGATGACATGTATATTTTCCGATATCAAAGAATGTTTTCGGTCCACAGGATTGCACCATTCTAATCTGACACGTATGGACTAGTGTGGTTTTGTTGTTGCGATTTACCTGTATATTTAAGAATATTAAAATGTATATTTCAGAATATTAAAATGTATATTTAAGATTTATGTTACACCGTGAATGCTGAATCATACATGAATGATTTTGTAGATTTAACAGTAAATCGTGATATTTGCATGTAAATATTTTAATTTATACTGTTGATTATTGTAGGCCTTCGCTCTAATAATGCATTCCCTTGTTGTGTTTTAATTTTTTAAAACATGTATACATTCATACATTCCTTCAGAATGCCTTGTCATTGCTAGCCTGGAAAATGACAATATTGTCATAGAATTACAAAGTACTCTGAGACCAAATTGTTTTTCATCTAGAAAATGTTAATATTTTTCTCTGTGTGTGCAAGTGTGTGTGTGTGTATGTGCATGCGTGAGTACATATGTGTGCGTGCATACCAACTTGAACTACTGTCAGATTCTCATACATTTACAGCTGAAGCTAATGTCGTCACCCACTTGCAGCGTCAAGTTTGTTTGTTTTTTGGATTTTTTTCACTATGCTGAGATGAATTTCACTGTGCCTAAATACCCTTATTCCATCACAAAATGGGTAGATTGCAGTACAAAGTAGGTAGATTGCTCTGATTAAAGTAAAAACTCTTTTTCTGCAGTGTTGTGCCTTGTCTCAGTAGTCTCGGAGTGTTGTCAACTTTTCTGCTACGCATCTGTTATTAGTAAATCTTGTTAATTTCTGAATAATGAAATCTTTTCCGAACAGGGGTTGCAATGAAGTCCACTGTGAACTCTTATAATTTCTATATATATACAGTGTACAGTCTAGCATACACAAAGTGAAATCAACGAAATGCAGAAATCTTTTCGTTATGTATGAATTTCCGTTTGTACATGTTTTAAATACAAAGAATATAATACATGGCATGTATTAGTAAAGATTGGGAACCTGAAAAATCTGTTCGCTGTTTGTGTGTGTTTCAGTATGTGTTTGTTCACTGTGCGCATGCTAGACAGTATAGACATCTATATAATATTATATTTGTTAAAGTTCGTCACTTTGGTCGTCTGAAACTTCCAAACCACTTAACTTTCGAATTTGAAAAAATTAACAGTGAGTCAGAATCATTCAAAGGGTGCACAGTTACATTAAAGAGTCTGAAGTCTCTTCAGTTTCATTTTCTGTTTTTCATTAGTTTCGTTTTGATCTAATCTTGGGACGCCATTGTAAACAAGTGAGGCTTCTTTTCACAAGCAATGTGCACTGCTTTCACAATGACTTGACTATCGATTCTTTTGAGTCCGTTCATTGAACGGGTACCCAGCTAGTATATTTATATGTATGTAAACTCTGCGATCATTTTCAGGTTCTTTTATTTTGCGTGGATCGTTGGCGGTGCTCTGGTGTGGTTTGCTCCTTCTTTCCTATCAAACATCTATTTTCCTGATCTCTCCTTCTTTTTTGTGTTTGTTTCTCTCTTGTAACATCTCTAATCTTCGGCACTTTTATGACCTTATTGTGTTGCAAGTCCTGTAAAACACTCACTAAAACAAACAACTCTTAACTAGAACTTTTATTTTGTGTTTGATATGTGGGGCATCGTGGTGAAGTCAGGCGCATGTCAAAATAATGAAGTCAAAGAGACAGGCAGTTTTCCGTTCGTTGGGCCGTTTTTATAAATTTTGCTCTTTTTATTTCAACAACCTGCACGTCCGTATAAAAACACATTTCTGCGTGGATTTTGCTGTAAAACGTTGATCAAAGGCACAAAAAATTTTGACACTGAAGCTTTGGAAGTCAAGAAACTTTGGAGGTAATTTTCCCGCTGATTTTATCTCTAAAACCAGGGTACCCCACCTCCTTCGATCATGAATGTCTCAAATTTTATTTAAGATGGATGGGTATTTCTGCATCAAAAGTAAGAAAATGAACAAGTTTTAAGATGAACACCGATAACTCTACTCTATAAGAACCAAAAATTGACAAACGCCTGATTCCACCGTGTCATGACGCATATGAGCTTTTGCCAATAGGTGGGTTCCTAAAATGTAGCTCAGAAGGCTGATGATAAAGTTTTTCATATTTCGTTTTTTCTTGAATTTTTCTATCCATGTCTCTCCTCCTACAAAAACATGTATTTACAGGCCAACAGATGGCATGCTATGCTGTGTAAATGGCGTTACATAACATCAAGTCAAATTCTTTCGGGCATAACTATGACTTATTTTTTAGAATTTGAACATTCAAAATTACTTTAACAGTTTTCTTATCGCTTTAATTTTCAAACATAAGCATGAAGAGCACATAAAATGGTGAGGATCAGAGAAAAAAGAAATTCTGAATGCCATTGTGTTTGCATTTGTGTCATCATAATTATGTCGAAAAGAAATGAAAAACTTTCCGTTTTCATATGTTAATTTCTTTTATGAAAATTTGGGCAAACATTGATTCAGATGATTCAATTTGACTCACAATGCATGTTAATGATGAAAAAGTGCCACTTTATTTACATTTTACTATAGATCTCTGCAAAATATCAAATATCTTTCGAACATAACCATATGACACAAATTTTAAAATAACCTAAAAAGTAATTTATGGAACTTATAATTATTTTAATAGTTTTCTCATTGCTTTAATTTTCAAACATAAGCATGAAAAGCATATAAAATGACAGAAAAAAGAAATTCTGAATGTCTTTGTGTTCTCATTTGTGTCATCATAGCTATGTCCGAAAGAAATGAAAAACTGTCCATTTTCATATTTTAATTAATTTTTTTTTACATTTTGGCCGACATAGATTCAGGAGATTCAGTTTGGCTCATAATGCATGCTAGTGCTGAAAAAATGCCACACAATTCACATGTTACTATGACTCTATGCAAAATACCAAATATCTTTCGAACTTAACCACGATGACACATAATGGATAAATGTTTGTGATCATTTTGGAACCTAGAACAATTTACATCAAATTTTCCCCTCCCTCTTGTTGACATCTAGCCAAGCACGTGTGGTCACATCTAGATCTACTACGACTTGACCATTGGAACGCAGTGCGATGTTAATCATTACTTGGTTTAATTGATTTAAATGGGGAGGGGGGACATTTTTCTGACATAACAGCTTTTTTCTAACGTAACATGTTAAGATTTGATGACGACAAAAGAAAACTTAAATGAATTCATCTCATCCATCGTTTTTCTTCTCGCCGTCTTGCATTCCACAACAATACGTTCCTCCACCACTATTATTTCTCGTTTGCTGATTGGTCCTTTCGAGCATAACAAATGATGACAGAGCACGAGGCGTCGCAGGATTTCCGTTTACTGCAAAAATTACGTACAGTCACAGCTTCGGAATCAGTCAGGGCAGAAAGTAAACATTGAATGATATTTTGCTCGTTCCAGGGCCTTAAAATGACCGATAGAAACGAGGTCATGAGGAATTGAACTTGCTTTGCGAAATAACGACACAAGTTATGCTCAAAAATTAAAATCTAGAAGGCTCACAAAGAAAAAACTGCTATAGATATCATTATTTCTGATATAGCACCACAAATAATGTAGTTATAGTAGTAAAAGTGTAGAGGGACGGGTTTCTCAACAAATATTTCAGCGTTGAACTTGACGGCACAAAAGGTACGAACTTGTCACGTCACGTTTTGCATTCTAAAAATACATCGATTTCAGAGATAAAAATATTTGTAAAATTTCCTCTGATGGCCAGACTGTTGTTTTTCTGCTCCAATAGCTGAAACATCATACTAAGCACAACATACAAATTTCAAGGCTGTAGCACCATTTTTATTGGAATAGGAAAGGATTTTGTAAGGTATATGAAGAAACCCCCACCTATATTGACAAAGGCTCATATGATTATAACAGATCTTGCTTTAATTAGATAGATGTTTTGCCCCAGCAAGTTGTTTTTTTGAAAACAGAGTGTGTTATGTTTTCATGATGAGCTGCAATATTTTACAGTTGCAGATTTAAATGAGTTTCCATTTTTGTCCTTTACTAATGCTTTTAATTATACCCAAGTTCTCTTTAATCTTGTACAGGTTTTGTCCGATACACAGTATAGTAAAGTGCAACAATTGCTACTTCCACTTTTGTTAACACCGCTGGTGCATGCTTGGTATCTCACATGGGTATTGAAGCTAGACA